GTGATACAAATTCAGCCAAAGTCTTCTCAATATGATTATTACTTTTCTTACTTCTATGTGAACAGATCTAACTTAAATTCTTGAAATGCACCAACTGCTATACTTTTCTTACTTCTATGTGAACAGATCCAACTTAATTTCTTGAAAGGAGCCAACTGCCGCGAGGAAAGTGGACCATTGTGCCACAAAATTGCAGTCCGTTTGACAAAGTCGGTGTGTTACTTATAAATATTTTAATTTTTAATTCAATTCTAAAATACTTATAAATAACAAAAAAAAAAAAGAATCCACCAAAACCCGCTCTTAATTTGATTTTTCCCTTCTCCGATGTTCTGCCTCTTTTTTTTTTTTTTTTACACAAAGAATGATTAACTATTAGTGTTAATATCTATTACGAGGTATATTGAATAAGTCAAATGGGTAATCTTCACTTTACTCCTAAAAAAAAACGTGATCCAATCAGTGAACCGCACGTTGAAGTTCGACGTTCTGGCTCTTAATTTGATGATAATGATAATAGGAAGTAATTTCGATGAGCTACGTTTGATACTTTCAAAATTTTTGATATTTTTCCTTTTTGGGAATTTAAAATTCCTGATTTAGACCGTACATGTTTGAATAATTTTTTTTTCTTTACCTTTATATTTGAGTTTGAGGGGAATGGTGAGAAGGAGAGAAGACGTTTCCCTCCTCTCAATTTTTTTTTTTATTTGGATAGTTAACTTAAATTAAAAAATAAAAAATAAAAAGAAAATTTTCTTTTCCTTCCCTCTAATTTTTATAATTAAATGAAGAATTTTCTTTCCTCCCCTCTATTAGTTTCAATCTAAATATACCATATTACTCTCAATCTACATATACTATACATAAAATGATGGGTTATAAAATAAGGATATCACTTTTTTTCCCAAATCTCTCTTCATTCATCTTATGATTCAAATTTGAGACTCAAGTTCTTAATCACTAAAACATCTCTTAGGAACCATGTTTATATAGTTGTCACGCCCCAAACCACGGAGCGAGACAGACGCCGTGCATTCGTGAACGGGACCCACAAATGCACAAAGCTCGGAACTTACTGATTTCTTACTTAGTAATTCAGATCTAAACCTTTTTATTTACCAAATATTTACCAATCAAGATGTACAAAATTTATAACTTCATATATATGATCATGACTAAAACTAAGGAAGTTCTGTACACAAAAATTTTTAAGTCGAACATGAGTGACTAACGGCCTAACTACAAAAATCTAAGTCCAAAATAATGCTTAGCCGTCTGGCTCGTCACTCTCCCGGGCTCCCCATGCGTCGGGTCTCACTACCTGAAATGGTGGACAAGGAAAAACTATGAGATAAACTCAGTAAGTAAAATATGGAGTGCCCCTTATTAAACTTACAGCATGCCAACGTGTGCAATCACGAAAAACGGATACTGTACGGGAACGAAATAGACGTCTCCTCTATAGGTCATGGCCAGTGTTATAAACCACCCACTGGCAGGCGTCAGTAATTACCAATGTATTCGCCCATTGGCAGACGCACTATTTGCTGGTGTATAACCCCCACTAGCAGGGTCACTCGAATGAACCGATTCTATCACTAACATGTCGACATGTGCTAGCGTTTAACCCCCACTAGCAGGGTCACTAATAACATGACCACATCGGAGACAAAACAGGCAGAAGTTAACAGAAAAATCATAATTCACCAATCACTTTCAAATCATCAGGACAATCAATTAAATTTTAAGTAGGCATGCTCAAATTTAATGAAAAGTATAAAAATTTCACTTCAAATCAGTCATACTTACTTTTGTATAAAACGGATTTAGTCCCGCTACAACTTCAAAAACAAATCAAAACATGCTTTTAAAAACTGTACGGGTATTACCATAAATTTACTTACCTTAATTGCACAAGACAGAAGGCTTAACCCAAGTGCTAGAGTCACAGGACGATGAAGGACCTAATCACAATATTTTCGAATTAATATCTATAAATAAATTTTATTTCTTTATTTATTTTTTATTTTTCTCATATCCGAAATTTGAGCACACAACATTAGATTGTGCATTTATATATATATATATACATACTTACACATATACAATTTTTCCAAATTCATGGACAGGAATTGGGAGAACCGGCTTTGACAAAAAAAAGGGCAAGTCACGGAATTTTTCTCTTTTTCTTTCATACAACATCACAGCAGCCCAATTAAAGGATTTCCTACATAAATTGACTTAAAACTCATTGCAAGGCTGCCA